ATTGTCTCCTCTGGAGCGGGCATTCACTCCGTAGGTACTGAAGACCCAGTAATGAAGAAGAAGCAGGGTCTGAGAGGATAGATACAAGGAACAGTCACCTAACACTCCCATATAACTATGACTCATGATACATGCCTTAGCAATAACATGAACATCCCAGTAACAATACCTAACATTAATTGGGCTGACAATTGCAGGCACTGAGCTGACTGGTCCTCAGTTCGTTCCCTCCTACAGTCCTCACAACTCCCAGGCAACTGTGTTCATCATCCGCTTTACGGATGAACACACCTGAGCTGCACAGAAGTCAAAAGACTTGCTGGGAAGAGGCAGAGCTTCAATTTGAATCCAGGTCTGACTCCAGAAAGCAGGCACTTGACCCTGAAGTAAAGAGCAGGAAGAAGAAGTAAAGGACTTGCCTTTGGCATGGAGGAGATCTCTCTGTGCTCCCAGTCGTCTGCCTTTATCCTCACCCTTATCCTGCCTTTGTAGACCAAGTAGAAATGATGATTCCTTTGACCTACTGACCTGGTAACCAGGGCCAGAGAATTTCACATTTACTTTGTTGGGTCATGAGATAGGACCAAGAATGGAGTTAGGGTCAGGAACAGGATAATCGTGCCTTTCCAGCATAATTACATCCTTGCACTCTGTGATCAAAATGATTGAGTCATAAGGTTTTTCTTAGTGCCAGAGCCATCTAACTTGCTCTCAAAGAGGTCGCCCAGGGTTGTTTTACTTTGATGTATTTACCAGAGAGCTGAACCTGTTTTGCAGCCAAGTCGGTACTCTGAGGTCCAGCTGCGTGGAGATGCCTGACTCCCAGCAATCCAACTCATAGGAGGCTGAAGTATATAACCAAATACTCGTGTATTTATTCACAGCTGGTGTTAGTCCTTCAGTAACTGGAATGCTCCTCCCTCAACTGGGGCATCCTTTTCCCAATATAAGCAATCAGAGAGCCAAATCAGCCATCAGCTGGCTGGTTGGTGAGTATATCCCAAGAGTTAGCTGCGGGCAGATTTCATTTAAGTCAGGGTGGGGCTTAGCGAGTCGCCTCAACCTCACAGCAGGGCACTTCTGTATGAGCTCCAGTTTCCTGTTGTTCTTTCCTGGACCACGGTGGGTAATAAGTGTCACCGGCTGGCCTCTTGGTTTTACCCTACTTCTTTTTCCTTTCTATTCTCCAACCTTCTCCCTCATTCTTGTTTCCTGCTTTCTCCATACAGTACAGTTGATAAGATTGCTAGTCATTCCATTGTTATTACATCCCAGCCCTGGACCCAGCCACGCCAGGATACGTCAGGGAGGTGATCTGATGGGTGGGTGGGCTGGTCCAAGCTCTTCCTTTAGGTATGGCCTTTTTGTATTTATTCTCAGATATATTAGGTTAAACCATATGAAATTGCTATATGGGCAGGCCAAAAACAGAGAGCAGCAACTTCATGTGGTTCAACTAACAGCAGACCAGATTTATTAGGGGTGGGCTTAATGAGTCCAACCCCTGCTTGCAAGCCTCAGTGGTATGTGTGTATAGGGTCATACATGGCAGCCTGTTACATATATCTAGAAACAGGCTTCTCTGGCTAGCCACTGGTCTGGCACCTTGTTCATCTTGCTATCTGTTCAGCCTCTGATTAGGGCCTTAATGTCAGGGATGACAAAGGAGGGACTTGAGGTTGAGGGAGAAAGTCAAATTTTTTGTTATACCTGAGAGTATGCGTTCTGAAGCCAACAGAGAACAATTTTAAGGAACACTTTTTGGTAGTCCATGTCTTATTTATTCCCCTGTTCATGTGAAAAAATTGGAGACTAATGGAAACAATTTTACATTCTACAACATCAAATGCCTGGGTGATGCAGGCTGATGCCCCACACCATTCCTCCCTTGTGCAGGGTTTTCAAGGGCTGTAGCTATATGTACATGTATTTGTCTGTTTCTGGTAGCAGCTTACCATACAGTAAGCTCTGTGAGGGTAATGCCTATCTCTGACTTAATTATCCTTAACTCGTATCATAGGGCCTGGCACGGAGTAAGTGATCATTTTAAGAAATGTTTTAAAAACATAAATGAATGAGTGAGTGAGTGAGTGAAGTTAAACAACAAGCAAATCACAGAAATACCAGGAAGGCATCAAATACCATACCAAACAAAAGGTCTCTGGACCTTTAAAGGTCAGGAACCAGGCTGCCTGCAGAAGTCACCAGAGACTCCCCAGAGGAAGTGGTCTGAAGGCATTTGCTCCCCAATTGGAAAAGGTTGGTGGAATAGCTCAGGCCGTAGCACAATCTGCCTCACAGATGTGAGAGAGGAAGCCACAAATGACAAGAAGCCACAAATGAAAAGTTGCTCCCTATTTCCTGGCAAGCTCTTTGGCCAGTATGAGCCACATTCCTTTGAGCTGAGCGTGTGTGGAATTTTCAGCCTAGGTAGCAGAATGGAACTTGGAACAAACAGCTCAGCAAAAAAGAACCCAGGGACAATGGGGTGGGTCCAGCTGCCCTTTGCCAGCTCTTGAGCTCACAGAATGTTGGCTCAGTGGGTCTTGTTGAGGGAGATAAATGATGTCTTTTGGATTATACCATTTCAGAGGGCTCAGAGAGACATTTCCATGTTCAGACAACTCTATAAGATACTTAGAAGATGTGCTGAAATACCTGGGAATGGTCTGACTCCTCACCACTGTTCAACTTTCCATCCAGCAAGAACAAGTTAAGGTCTGTTTTACTTTAAAGATGGATACGGTCTTGGGGTGCCTGGCTGGCTCAGTCAATTGAGCATCTGCCTTTGGCTCAGGTCATTATCCCAGGGTCCTGGGATCGAGTCCCACATGGGGTTCCCTGCTCAGTGGGGAGCCTGCTTCTCCCTCTCCCACTCTCTCCTGCTTGTGCTCGTTTGCTCTCTAATAAACAAAATCTTTAAAAAAAAATAAAGATGGGGACGGTCTAAATATTGGAAGGCGGAGGGGAAGAAACCATCAAGAGGGAGCTGGAGGATGCTTTGAGGTGAGGGCAGATGATGATGAGGGGATGATGGCAGGATTCAGGGCGCTATGTAACCAACCTAGAAGAGGGTGGCAGGGGAGATTGAAGAGGAACTAGTGGGAATGCAATCTGTCAGTTTCAGAGCAGAGGATTCCACTAGGAAGGGATGAGCTTTTTGGAGGAAAGAATAACTACAGACAATAGACATATAGAAAGAATAACTACAGACACAACCACAAAGATACTGGTGTCTCTACTGGCCTGACCAGTACATATGATCAAGTTCTGGGAGCATGTCATGAATCACACTGAAAAATGTAGTGGGAAATTTTGTGGTGTCAACCCTCAGCTGCTATGCCTTCTCTACATTTTCCCAAGTCATTAATTCCTTCAAGACACTGATACTTGATGGGGACCTAAGAAAGGGGCGGGGAGGGGGGGGAACTGAATCCCAATTATTCGTATCTGGAATTTCTTGATTATAAGGGAGCTGAAGCCAGGAATGACAAATTACTCAACCTAGAATAAGGCACATAACCTTAAAATATAGCTAAATAGGTGCTTCATAGATGAGGAAAGGACAAAAGTTAGAAAAGGAGGGAGGGAGGAAGGAATGGAGGGAGAAAGGGACAGAAAGGAGGAAAAAGAAATTTGATCAGAGACTTAACTTTAAGGGAGATGTGGGTGGGGGCAGGACTTGGCCTGCATCACAAGAAGATAAGTGGTGTCACAGAAGGAAGTTACCTAGGGTTCACCTGAGTGATTGGGGGCAGGCTACATCTGGGGAATTATACCTAAGCTTACTGTTGCCCAAGGCTAAGTTCTTGATTTACTTTGTTGACATACTGGGAACTCAGTTCTTTAACAGTAGTGGAGGTGGGGGAGGGAGGGAAGACAACCTTCAATGCGGAAACTATAAAGGAAAAGACAAAGAAGTCACCCTTTTACTGGCTGTACTGTGTCTACCCCATGAAGCTACTAACATAGTCTGAGTCATTTCCTTAGTAGCTGCACTCTCCTTTGTCCTTAGAAGGAGGAAGTTGAAAGTCTAATACTTGACATTAGGCCACCGTTTTCAAATTAAAGAATTCCTTTCATTCTCAAGGCCCAAAAGGTACTTAAATGGTAAAACCAGGTTTAACATGGGTATTTTATCCCCATCCCTATGACACACCGTTCTCCTCCTTTTACCAGATATATAAAAGCTGAGGATAAACTGCATCCATCATTTAGACTCAAGTCAGGGCGGGGAGCACTATTTAAATGTATTAAAAAGTCATGCATCTCACATCCAATGCTTAACGCACGGTGCTGGGCAGCTAACAGGTCCTCCGTCCGAGAGCGAATACCCTCATTTTACATATCAGAAGCTCGAGGATCAGATTTCTTTAGCTTGACCTTGGTAGACAGCAAAGGGTGGAGTCCAGACAAAATTAACCCCCTATCTACCTACCGGCTTATCAAAGATTTTCGCAAAAAGACCAAACTTCAGGCCCACGGCTCCTCTCATTTCCTAGTAACCATCCCATAAAATGAAAATTTTAAAAAGTTGCCAGACCAGAGGAGGTGAAAGTACAGAGTGCAGCGGAGGAGGAGTTACCATCTTGAACACAGCTAGCTTAATACACAACCTTCCCGTTTCGCTAAAGTTCAAGCCACAAGGCCACAGTTCGCTCTGGGCGAGCAGACACGCGTGCAACCTACGCATGCGCTCAGACGGAACCCACCCGCCCCTTTCACCAGACCTCTTCAGCCAAGTCACCAATTAGCCCTCTAAATGCCCGCCCTCAAGGCTAAACCCCTGGCCAATCGGGAGGCAGGAGCCATCAGGAACCCCACTTATTTAGCATACACCCTCCTCTCTCTGTCCCAAGGCCCCGCCCCTTCTGAGGCAGGGATTGTCGCCTAAGCGCTTCGTTCTGACACCTGATTGGCTCCTCTGGAAGCTCCGCCTCCGTCTCCTCCCGCCGCCCTCCCCTTTGCGCTCCCACAGCGGCGGGCGGAGCTAAGTACGCACGCGCGGGCGCTGCCTCTCTCTTCTGGTGGCCCGCCCTCCCTCCTCCCCCTCCCTCCCCTCCCCACCCCCTCTCCCTTCCTCTCCGGGCCTGCGCGCGCGTGTCTTCCTCCTGCACGCGCCGCTGCTAGCCAAGCACTCTTGCCGGAGCCGCTGGCCCGCGCGTTCCTTTTCCCCTCCGGCTGCGGAGCGGACGGGATCCTGCACCGCGGGCTCGGCAGCAGCGGCAGCCCCGGCGGCTTCGAGCGGCGGCACGGGCTCGCGATCCCCTAGGCGGACCGTACCACCGCCCGCCAGCACGCGGGGGGGAGCCGCCCGCCCCGCCGCACACGCCTCGGCGACCCCGCGGGGCTGAGGCGTCGCCGCGCCCGGGAGCGTGAGCGCAGAGCCGGCCTCGACCCCGAGCTCTGAGCCCCGCGGGCCGCGCCCGCCGCCGGCCCCACCCATCCAGGCCGAGGAGGCTGAGGCCATGGCCGAGACGGAGGAGCGGAGCCTAGACAACTTCTTCGCCAAGAGGGACAAGAAGAAGAAAAAGGAGCGGAGCAGCCGGGCGGGGAGTGCCGCGAGTGCGGCGGGCGGCGCCGGCGGGAGCAGCGGAGCCGCGGGCGCGGCCGGCGGCGGGGGCGGGCGCGGGGGCCCGGCCGGGCGACGGCGGGACCGCGGGCGCGGGGGCCTTCGGCCCCGGGGCCGCCACCAAGGCCGTGACTAAGGTGAGGGGCTGGAGAGGCCGGGATTCGGGGCCGGGCCGCGCGCTTGCGCCCATGTGCCCGCCCCCGCCGGCCGCCAGCCTGGGGAAGCGTCCGGGAGGGGCCGGCCAGCCGGCGGACGGGCGCGGAGGCTGGCCATGTGACGGGGGCTTCCCACGCCGGGCCGGCCCGCCTCTCCCCGCGGGACCCCCAGCCTCCTCCCGCCCCGCCCCTCCACCTCGTGTCGCTGGCCGGGACCGAGAGTCGGTCCGCGGTACCCTCGAGGGGAAATGAGTCTGGGTCTGAAGTACCCAGCCCAGAGCAGCATTTATCGAGTGACGTCGGCTCTGAGTAATTTGGTGTTCTGACTTCAGCCCGCCAGTCTGAGCAGAATTTTCTAACAATCGCATTTGTGGCAGCTTTAATTGCCATGCTTTGGCCTCTAAACCCATAACAGAATAAGTCTCATGACAACATTGTGGTAGACATTTAGTTGTGGGGTTACCATTGACTTTTTCATTCGACTTTTCCTGGTTGCTTTTAAAGTAACAGCTCTCTGGAGGGAACCCGGTGGAAGTAAGGGTTGGACTGCTGGGCACGTTTGTCCTCTAGCCTAGTCGGCCGCCTTGGAATCAAAAAGGGCCTTTGGCCAGAAAACGAGTCTGCATTTTAGGTTCCAGACGCTTGATCCTTTTTCCATAGTCTGATATTTGCCTTAGTTGTGTTTTAACACATAGCTTTAATTGATCAAGTGGTGTGTGTTTTACAGGATGAAGATGAGTGGAAAGAATTTGAGCAAAAAGAGGTTGATTACAGCGGCCTCAGAGTTCAGGCGATGCAAATAAGGTATGGTCTGGTTACAAACGCGTTTAGATAACCCTTAGGATAGGTATAGTATGTTTGGTTTTTCACTAGCCCCCAAACCGCATCACAGGGGCCTCATGCTTTAGATATGCATATTAGGGCTGTAACGGATTGTCTTCCTTGTCTCTGTGGGGGCAGTTCTTCTGTATGCTGATCAAATTAGCTGTCAGCTCCAAAATCCTGTGAGAGCTTGCCTACTTATTTGAGACCGCTAAAATGAAATGGATTTTGTGGTTTGAAGACATTCACTTTTTAACATTGGTGTGTTGAACCTAGGGGTTTTGTTTGTTTGATTCAAAAATAATGTGGTTTTCAGATCTCTCCAATAAGCAAGTTAATACATACGTATTTTTGTAATTTAAGTATACTTAATTGATGTACAGATTTTATATGTTCACCCAGTGAGACCAATCTGTGTAATCAACAGCAAGGTCAAGAAACTGAACATTACTCCTGCAGAGCTTATCTAAAGCCCTTTTAGTCATTACCTTCACCCCCAAGAATAATCAGTATCCTAACACTGCAGATTTATTCTCCCTAGAATTTTATAGGGCATCAGATAGTCTGAGCATGTTATTTTTAAAGTTCAAGAAAATAGGGGCACCTTGGTGGCTCAGATGGTTAAGCATCTGCTGTTCAGGTCATAATTTCCAGGTCCTGTTGGGCTCCCAGCTCAGTTGGGAGTCTGGTTTTCCCTCTCCCACTCCCGCTGCTTGTTTTCTCTCTCTCTCTTTCTCTTAAATGAATAAAATAAAATCTTAAAAAAAAAAAAAAAAGGTTCAAGAAGACTGGTATTTTTTAAAAATGGGTTGGTTGGTTTAGGGGATTTGAAATTAACATATTAAGTCCAATCTGTGATAGTTGGTTTTAGATTCATGTGAATAGATGTCTTACTTTAATGGGTGAATGTATGGTTCCACCATTTTTAAGGTTAAAACTCTTTCATTCCCAGTTTAAAGAAATAAATGATGTAATGAACTGCATCCAGTTCGAAGTTTGCAGTTTGTGTATACCAGTGACCACGTGGCACACGGGCAGAAGTAACTTTCCTTAACAGAATACTCTTTTGACTTCTCCAAGTGGTAATATTTATGGCCTTACATAAGTTACTCAAATTCAAACACCAGGGCTAATATTTTTTACTTTTGTTGAATACCTCCCAGAGTGCCAGGCGTTTATCTCCTGGGTTCGTTTAGTGAGCTTAACCAAAGTGAAACCTGACTGATTGTGGGAAACGTTTTAGGAAATGGGGCTTCTCCACTCTTGAGGTTCTTTTGAAGTAATGATAAGTACAAGTGATTAGGCTAAATTTTACTCCCAACAACTTCTTGAATTTGTATGTGAGATGTTTCTTGAGAGGTGTAGTTAAGAAAATATCCCTTAAAAAAAAAAGAAAATATCCCTGATTCTGGGGTTTGACCTGTGAAAATGAAGAGGAGGAGATGTGAAGTTCCTGTCCATTGGGGCTTTGGCACTGGCTGTGTGGTTCCTGTTTGGCTGTAGAATAAGGTTCTTGGTCCATCTTTCTGAGCACAGGTTCTTAACTGCGAATTCTGAAGATTGAGTGACAGGAGGAATAGTGTTTGACCATGTTGAACTTACTGAGCAAGAGTAGCACTTTCTGAGGGGAAAGGTTTTGAATTCACTGAATGCTGGAAATTGATTTTATTATATTATGGAGGATTTTTATTATTATATTTTTTTATTTATGGAGGTCTGTTTTTCTGTCATTGATTATATATTCCATATCCATACTCAAGGTTATTTTTGTCTGTCTTTCTGGCTACTCCAGAGATAATGAAACATTTCTTAAATTATGTCTTTCACCTCTGCCAGGGGCGTAGGTAAATCTCAGCTAGTATGAGTGTTTAAATTCTGCTTGACCTGAAGCTTGACTAGCTTTTATGTTGTTTTTCTCGTTATTCCTAGCACCTAGTCTTAACTCCTGAGCGGTCTGCCACAGGTCTTTCTCTAACCTAACATTGAAAAACATATTTTCAGGAAGCTGCCTTTGTGGCTCCTCAGTCACCCTGGAGTCAAGAGTATTTTTTCCATTATCTTCACGATCTAACAGCCTTCAGGAAAGACTTGAGTGTGAGACATCATCTGAGGTCTAATAATGACAGATTTTCACACTATATACTGTCTATCCTTGTAAACTTTGTATTAAATGTTTTGACAGTGAAACTCAGTAGGATCGGGATCCCCAAGAAAGAAGACACTTTGTTTTCTTCAAAGGAGTGGAAGTAGGTTACTCACATAAATGGGATGGAGTTGATAATGTCACGAAAACATGGACTTCGGGGAAAGAGGAGCCTGGGTTTCAGCCTCTGCTTGTGTGACCCTGGGCAAGTCATTTTACTTTGGAGTGTTGGTTCTGATCTGCAGAATTGAGACAACTCCTAGGAATGTGAGGATTTTTGAATAGGGTATTTGTAAAATAGCCACTCAGCAATACTGATCTTCTCTATTCATTGGGTAAATTAGAATAACTTAGTCTTGGCAGTCTGTTATTTAACCATGAGGCACCTGATCTATAATACCAAGATTTGAGGACAAGGGATAGTGAAGGTACACTGACTGCTATCATGACTAAAGACTGGTAAGTCAATTCACTATGAACCTGATAGAAAATGACATGTTCAGGTTGGCATGAGTATGACCATACCAAACAAAAATCCTTCTCAGAGTGTTCAACTATAGACTTTGAATTATTGTCTTCCATAGCTTGGTCTTAATCTTTTAGGCAGAAGCCCTTAGGAAGGGGCAGAAGAAAGGACATACCTTTGAGAAGTTGGGGCACATGATTCTTTATGCCTTCAATTTGTTAAACTTTCTGTGAGAGAGGCAGCTTTGCTATCTCTGTATGAGACAAGGGAATATGAAACTTTGGAATTTGACTTAAAATACCTTGACATTTTCAGCCTTATAATCTTAAAGTTTTTTCTTCCAACTTTTCGCTTTGAAAAATTAGAAACCTCAGGAAAGTTCCAAGAAAGATAAAATAAGTACCCATATACTCTTTGCTTAGATCTCCTGATCATTTTTGTCACATTTGCTTTAGTCAGCTGCAAATTCTGCATATAGCCTTAAAATTTTTTTGACACTAGACCTTATGATAGGTTAGCATGCTGGACCTTTATTGAAGGTAAGTGTTCATTTGAAAGGAAATTTTCAGTAGCGGCAAACAATGCTGTATTAATGTTCTAACACATTTACCAACTAGCTCAAGATTTAAGTGCCAAGAGTATTAAAAGAGCTTGCGTACAGATTTTGTGTCTAAATTAACAGATGTGTTCAAGGTCCTCATTATGTAGAGACAAGTTCTTTAGGGGGTTGCCATTGGGATGGTGATAAAAGGGGCTTAACATTGGAGCTTGGATTGTTGGATTGTTAGCAGTCTAAATGGGACCTGTAGGCCTCTCATCTTTAAAATGGATTTAATTTAATATTTGAAGTTACTAAATGTTGAGGGTTTGTCCTGTTTCAATAATAAATTAACTTCTTGGAGGGGCACCTGGCTGGCTCAGTAGGGGGAGCACGTGACTCAGTCTCAGGGTTGTGAATTCAAGCGTCATCTTGGGCTTACTTTAAAAAAAAAAAAAAATGAGTTCTTGGAACCCAGTGGTTTTTTTAGAAACCTTCTTAAGAAATCTAGAACTTGGGGTGCCTGGGTGGCTTGGTCATTAAGCATCTGCCTTCGGCTCATGTCACGATCCCAGAGTTCTGGGATCAAGTCCCTCATCAGGCTTCCTGCTTGGCAGGAAGCCTGCTTCTCCCTCTTCTGCTCCCCGTTTATGTTCCCTCTCTTGCTGTCTCTGTCAAATAAATCTTTAAAAAAAAAAAAAAAATCTAGAACTTTAGGGACACCTGGGTGGCTCAGTTGGCTAAGCATCTCCCTTCAGCTCAGGTCATGATCCCAAGGCCTTGGGATTGAGTCCTGCATTGGGCTCCTTCCCTGCTCAGCAGAGAACCAGCTTCTCCCTCTTCTTCTGCCGCTCCCTCCCCCTGCTTGTGCGTATTCTGTCTGTCAAATACATAAAATCTTAATAACAACAAAAACCTTTAAAATCATTAGGTAGAGCTGGGTAAGTTGTTAACTTGAAGAAATCACTCCTGCAGCAAAGCTGGATTCATTGTAGCAAATCTTAGTGTGACGGTAGTGTGCCAGACATCAGGGTTGTAGAAATAATTCCTGCTCTACTAAACACCAGTAGGTCATTGCAGTGATGGGCAGGATACTGTGGAACACAGGAGAGAGACACTTAGTCTCCCGTGAAGGCATTGAGAAAGAGTTTTTGGAGGAAGCTGCCAGCATAGCTCATCAGGCTATGTCTAGCCATTTTGCTGTTGTAACAGTGGTTGGGTAATAGGGCAAACCAGTGGAGATGCAGAAGCACAGTCAAGTCTGGATTTTGTTTTAGCTGCTAAAACCCTAGTATTGGGGAAGGAGAGTTAGGATGTATAAACTCTCGTGTAAAGTCCTGTGAGATAAAGAGGTAAGGATGTCCCATCTTTATTAAGAAACTGCTGCAGGTTGTGTAATCCTGATCAGCCGTACTGAAAATGAATTTGCTCAAAATAGAGAAAATTTCTGTGTCATATGTTAGAGCTCTAAAGAGGATAAAATGAAAGAAGCAACATGAGAGAGTATGAGCTCTGGAGACAAGGGGTTTGGCTTGCTACTCTGTAGCCCTGGGGAAGGGGCTTACATTTTAGTCTGAGTGTCTGTGTCTTCCTTTGTACAGTAAGTCTCCTGCCTGCCTTGGTGTTATTGTGAGGTTTAATTTGTGAAGTGATAGGACAGGGTCTGGCCTACTGAGTACTAGATACTCAGTAAGTATTACATTTTCTTGCTTCATTCATCTATACCACCACTAGTACCTTACAGACTGTTGTATATTTAAGACCATAGACTTTAAATTGTGATAATGTATTTACAAGTAGCAGTGTAGTATTTAGAAATGTGAAATTTAGCTGATATATTAATCAGCTGTATATTTAGCTATAAATTTAGCTATATGTTCTTTTGGGTCAAATAGCAAATTTTAGCCTAATTATCTCCTGTGGAAATGATTCTTTGCAACGTGTGTCTTAAGACATTTAGAGATTTGACATTTTCTGGAAGTGTGTAAGTAAGAAAAGGTAATCAGATTTTTAAGTTATTTCTACCCTGCCCTTAGTCCTACAGCCTTTTGACAAGGCTTTTAGCATCTCTGGGCCTTTGTTCCTTCCCTCTCTTGGATGAAAGGTCCTTACTAGACAATTTCCAATGTTTAGTTTAACTTTAGAATCCTAAGAAACCAAAATATTAGGTTGTCTTGTGCCTATTATTACAGATGCACAATCTCTTTAATTAAATCCCTCTTACTTCGTAATATTTTGTAATTTAAAGGGATTTTTAGATTTGTGATTTATTCATTCTGGTCTCAGGGTGAAGAGGTAGTAAACATTACCTTAAAGGTCGTAAAGAGGTAGTAAACATTACTTTAAAACATTACTAGTAAAGGAACTTCTTTTACATGGATCATCAGTATTCTGTCAAGCCAGTTTGGGGCTTTTCTTTAGTATCGTACTGTGAATTAGAAAAACTATATTTTTAAAGGGTTTTTAAAAGGTACAACAGCCTAAAAATGTATGAGAGTGATCTTTAATCCCTTCTGCTTAGAGATAATCAGTGTTAAATTTTTTAGTGTTCAGTTGATTGCTTACTGTAAGCTGATAATTCCAGTTTAGATATATTAGTCACCAAATATTAAAGAATTTGAAGAAAAATCTATTTTAGAATATAGTGTGTATGTTTGAACAAGTGATTCAGCACATTTTGCTGAGGTGTTTCACAATGTAAATGACAAAGCTAGCATACTTTGGGGATATATAGGAGTATAAAAGTGCGGTGAAGGTTCTTAAAGTCCTTGTAGGGGTCTGTCTTCCTTGTCTGGCTGGGATTGGGTTACTGGGACATACTAACAAGTCTTTAGTAACTAGGTAAATAACACTTAGGTTTTTACTCAGGAACCAAGCAAATTACATGAAAGTAAAATTACATTGGCATCAGTTCTCAGAAGTGGCTGACTGAAAAAAAATATTTTGGAATAGTTCTAATGTTAGGATACCACTGTTAGACTCCTAGATAAATTAGGACCTTCATATCCTTACCTGGTCATTCTTTCTATGTGTAAATTGTCAAAAACAGGGTCATAGTGTTTGGTATCTTATTTTTAAAAATTTCTAAATTTTTTAAAATTTTTAATTTTAATATTTAAATTTTAAATTTTTTAAAATTTTTAATTTTAAAATTTAAAAAGTTTTTAAAAATCTATTTTAAAAGAACTGTTCGTGTTTTGGGTTTTTGAGATTTTGAGTTTTGTTCTCATTTTTTTTCCTAGTATAAAGATGGCATCTGTCTGAAAACTCAAATGGATATTAAAAAGCATATATTAGTGGGGCGCCTGGGTGATGCAGTTAGTTAAGCGTCCAACTCGGTTTCAGCTGGGGTTGAGAGATTGAGCTTCTGTTCAGACTCCATACTCAGCATGGAATCTGCTTAATTAATATTCTCTCTCCCTCTGCCCCACCTCCCACTCCCCCCCAAAAAAAATCGTAACATTTAACAGCACCTACTCTATGCCAGGCACTTTTCTTGGTGCTTTGTGTCTATTAACTCATTTAATTTTCATAATGGAGCTATTATCCCCATTTTACATAGAGGAAACTGAGGCATACAAAAGTTAAGTGTCATACTTAAAGTCTCCTGGCCTAGTCGGTGGCAAAACCTAGATGGTTTGAACCAGGAAGTCTGGTTTTAGAATCTGCTTGTAACTACTTGCTGCATGAAGAAAATAAAATCAGGCATTCTAGCACCCAGCTACTTTTTTTAACTTTTTTGTTTAAATCAGAATGTCCTTCTACTTATGTTAAGGTGTATAGATTTTGTTTTACAAAGCCATTGGCTTAACTGACATGAATATTACTTCCATGTCAGCATTTTAAATGACTGTACAGATTCTATTATGTGTTAACAAAAAAGGAATTCTATTTTAAATGGCTGTACAGATTCTATTATGTGTTAAAAAAAGGGAAACTGAAGGATGGCTTGGCCCCATTCTCATTCTTTTTTCCTCTTACAGTCATAAGTAAAATCATGCTACAAATGCTGGTTGAGGATATGTTCATTCCCCTCTTCTCTCCCTGATTGTCACCCTAGGCCTCCAAAATCTGGAATCCCTTCTGTTGGTGGTCATTGTCTTTGAAATTTTCTCTTTTTTCTTAAGATCTTTTTTATTTGTCAGAGGGACAAATATTTGTCAGGGGAAGTGGGAGGCAGAGGGAGAAACAGGGTCCCCACTGAGCAGGAAACCTGAGGCAGGACTTGATCCCAGGACCCCAGGATCGGGACCTGAGCTGAAGGCAGACACTTAAACCCATTGAGCCACCCACACCCTCTATAAGGGTCTTTAAAGGAGACCGTTGGTTATTCGAGAAACTTGTCTTATAGCTAGCACTTTCCTTGTTTTAACAGAAATGGCAGGAAAACACTGAGTGTCCTTTTGTAGAAGCCAGGAGGGGCCGTGATGTTCCCAGGGTCATGCACAGTAGGGTGGAAGTCATCTGTACATTGTTAAGTCCATGATCACTGATCAGGCGTCAAAGGGAGAAGATTTCTGAAAGAGTAAAAGGAGGACAGCTTTAGGCAACAGCGCTTTTTCCAGTAGGAGAGAAAAGCGTGGTCAGAATGGTAAAGAGGTTGATAGGCTGAAGTTCTAGGAAAAACCACCACTGTCACGAAACAATTCAGTGAAAGGTTGGTTGTCTGTGCCAGAGGCGGTAGCAGCAGCAAGGGAGAATCTCGGCAAAAGGCAGTTAGATTTGACTCCCTGATTCTTGAATCAAGCCAATTTAAGAATAAAGAAGAAATAGGCATAAACACTACACACAGTCTTGGGATACCACTGAGGCTATCTTTTGCATTTCTAATTACTAATAAAGCCAAAGACTGAGTTTTTGTGTTCTCTTCTTTAAATGGGTGACATATCTGGTGATAGGAACCAGTTCTATATCTTCCCTGTGGCACTAACAAAGTCTGTAGCACTGATGTCAACACTGAACACAGGCTTGTTTCTTCTGTTGGAATGTGAATTCTCATTTTGAGAGTAATTTTGTAATATGTGCTAAATGATTAGGAAATGAAATTAAACAACTTACAAGAACTGTTTTATTACTGAAAATTTGCTTACCATGAGTGCCTATTCAGCCACTCTGGTCTGGTCCTAGAAAAATCCAGAGCTTTCCCTCTTAAGTCCTCTTTTCTCAGGTTAGCCTGGCCTCTTCCTCCCGCAGTTGCGTGAGGTTGGTAGCTGGGGTCCTGCTCTTACTTGGGGCTGCTGTATGTAATGACATAGATTGTCCTAAGCCTGGCATGTCAGTATGGTAAATATTTCTAAGTGTTCTTGACTATATGAGGTTTGCAAGAAAGGAAAGCAGAGACTATCAGACCAAGTAGTTTTCGAAACGTTTTGTAGCAGTACAGTCCTTTCATATGAAGTCAGGTGGGAGTCCCAGTGTATAACAGATAAAATCCCTTATTTCTGTCTGTTTCTTTTAAGCAGGTGGGTCACTGGGACTCTGAAGAGGTTGGGTCACTTGTCTTAGGGTCACACAGATCAGCCTTGAAACAAGTAAGGATATAGAGTGGTGATTTTCCTGGTAGTTCTGTAATTGAATTCACTTGTTTGCTTTACCACTAGTGAAAAGGAAGAAGATGATAATGAGAAAAGAGAAGATCCAGGTGATAACTGGGAAGAAGGTGGAGGTGGTGGCGGTGGTGTAGAGAAATCTTCAGGCCCCTGGAATAAAACAGCCCCAGTGCAAGCACCTCCTGCTGCAGTAATTGGTAAGCTTAATATTTTATTCTCCTACAGCTGTCTGTGTATAATTCAGTGTACTGTTGGCATGCAACTAAATGAATGCTTGTAGTACAATGAGTGGGGTTCCTTTCTGCTCTTACGAGAGATGTTTGTATTTGTCTGAAGAGTTTCATTCACATCCTGTGTAAAGGAATTTAGACCTTAAGAGACGTGCTTTTCTGTAGGCTCCTTAAATTTATATGTAAACTAACTTGCCAAACTTAAATACTTGTAATTTGTGTCAGTTTTTGACAGTTGGCTAAAGGGATATCGTACCTATGTTTCCACCTGTCTTTGTTTTTTACCCTGTTCCTCATTTACTCTGTCTTGAGGCATGAATCCTCAGAAGGGCACATTTTATCACTCCTAAGAGTTGATAAGAAGAGGTTCTTGGCGGGAGCATGAAGAAGTGTTAGATCTTCTAGTGGGGTGTTGCCCACCAGAGAGCAACAACGAAGTGTGTGAGCAGGTGCACAGTGTATCTGTGGTATTAACATTTCCTGGTGTGGGGGCATGGTGTTTAGGAAACAGATGTCTAAAAGGGTTCCTTAGAAATGGCAGTGTTGAGAGAAGTTTGAGAAACATTACGTTATAACATATACCCATTTTTTTAAAATGCAGAATACTAGAATAATAGTTCACTCCAAGTCTTACTGCCCAGATATCACAGATAATTAGTATGTGTCCGCATTCTTGGCATCCTTTCTAGCCCTTTGCTAGGTGTACATACATATATATATATATATATATATATGTTTTTCCATTTAGCTTTTTTTACTTTCTCTCTGATAACCTGAGCATTGCTAACCTCAGTGTCCAGGTCTCCATCCTCACCCAGTTTGCCCCATCAGCAGCGCTTGCCATAGCTGATCACCCCAGGACACCACAGTCTCCTGCTCCCTCCACTGTTGATTCTGTCTCCCTGGCTGGACTTTATTTTCTTACCCCAGTGGTCAGCCCCTGCCGCTCTCTTTTCTGTGCCCTCCCTCCCTTGACAGTGTCCACATGCCGGCAACTCCAAAATTCACAACATCTAACATCTCTCCTGACCTCCACACACGCTTAGCCGCCAAGCCGGCATCTCGATATCCGCATATCCCCAGCTGAACTCATGTACAGTGGACCCTTGAACAACGCGAGGGTGGGGGCCCTGCACCTCTGTGCAGTCTGATCCACGTTTCACTTCTGGCTACCCCAAAATTTAACTACTGAGAGCCTGCTGTGACTAAAAGCCTTAAGAGTAACAAACATACCAGTAACCAGTAACTAGTTGTTATCAGTAACAACACATATTTTATATATTTATCCTACTATATTCTTAGAATAAGCTAGAGGAAAAATATTAAAAGCGTAAAGAAGAAATCCATTTACAGTTCTCTACCGTGTTTATCAAAAACATGAACGTGTTAGTGGAGCCATGCAGTTCAAACCCATGTCAGGGGTTAGCACACCGCTTTCCTAATCTCCTTGCTGTTCATTCAGTCCCTTAGGCCACAACTCTTGGAGCCCTCTTTGATGCCTTTTCCTTGCTCCACACCTAAATCTCATTTGTCAATAAATTTGTTTTGTCTTTATTTTCAAAATCAGACTCTGTGTGACTAGTTCTCTCCAGGGCCACTGCTACCACCCTGCCTTGAACTGTTAATTTTTATATGGATCGGTGAGGTCCTCTCTTTGCTGCTCTGCCTGCTTCTGTGCATGCCCTCCTCGGAGGAGGAGAAGCTGAAGTTCTCAGTGACCTGCAAGGCCTGGGATCCCTGCCTTGTGATCCCTTCTTCTGACTTGCTGTTTCTTTGAACCTGGTCCTCACTCACCCTGCTTCTTGAGGGTGTCAGGTACACTGCTGCCGCAGGCCCTTTGTGTCTAGGTTCTCATCCTGAATCCTCTTTCCTTTATATTAGGAGCCTCTAAGAAAGCTGCTTCTGCAAAGGGCCAGATAAGAGGTAATTTAGATTTTGAGGGCCGCACGGAAGAGGATTTTAATTGCCCAGCCCTGCTGTGACAGCACAGAGACAGCTGATGCAGACACCCAGTGAGTGTCGCTGCATTCCAGTGAGCCATTTAGGAAAGCTGGAGTCGGACCAGATGTGGCTTGTTTGCCTCCTCAAGCTAGGTTTGCCTCCTTACGGCTTTTAGGCCTTGTGTGGTTTCCACCTCAACACTGAGAGCCCTGCCCGTCGTGTGCTCCCTTTACAATCCCTTCCCCCACTCATTTTCGGTATGGCACCAACCTTTACGTGGATGCGCCTCCTCCCTCGAGCCGAGCACTGCCCCACAGTACTTCTTGCAGTGACAGAATAGCATTGTTCGCCGGAATAGCTGCTAGCCACAGGTGGTGGTTGCGCACTTAAAATGCTACTAGACTACTAGAACTAGGGAACTGAATTCTTAAGTTTATTTCACTTCAGATGGCTGCATGTGGCTCGCAACCTGAATATCCAGTCCAGTTCATGAAGGCATGTCCTTAACATTTGTATCTTCCACCGTGCAGTTTAGAACAGCGCCTGACACAGCAGGTGCTCAGTCACTGATGAATGCGTGCGATACTGAAGCTTTCCCACACTTAATTAAAAGCTGTATGAGACAATAAGCCTTTATAGTAGTATTCAAATGGCTGCATTATATTGCAGCTAATAAATGATGGCGTAGGCGTTTATTTGAAATGAAGTTTTTGATAAATGGAAAACACACATAAAGTACTGAATCCATATTAAGAATGGGGAGAGAAAAAAATGATACATAAGGAAAGGCTGAAAGATTCTGTCCCGAAAACATTAGCCATCCTGGGAGACTTTGGGCTGCTCAGCTGCCTTGTTCTTTTCCTGCTTTACCTGTATTTATAAGATAAGACAAAGGGCCTTAAAATCCACTGATGTGGAAGACAAGGAAATTATTAAAGATACATAGTGGCTTATTTTTACTAGTCTTTCAGAAGTAAATATAGACACAAGCGTTTTCATAAGTAAATTCTTTACACATGGTGTGTTACCTAACCCACCAAACAGATAAAGAAGTCATTACCCACATTTACCTCTATGTAAACTGGGGGCTGAGGTTGTGCTATTCTCAAAGACAGTAGTAGCTGACAGACTGTCTCCCGGTCCACAAACAAGATTCCTCTCCCACTTGCAGTAAGTTTGAAAGCACTCATTTACATAGGTAGTCGAAGTGTTGTACATGGAAGAGAAGTTAGAAGACTGCCCCTGAAAGAGAAGAGTATTTTCACTGTCAGACATTTTCGCAGATAACTTTCTTCAGTTGTCCAGAGAGACTGTGTAGGTATTGGGGTTTTTTCTGTAAGTGTCAAGTCATTGGGAATGCGGGACTAGCTTATTAGAATGCCAAGGCATTTGAATAGTTGCTTTAAACTGTTATGAAATGTTAGTTACAGAGACCCCAGAACCGGCAATGACTAGCGGTGTGTATAGGCCTCCTGGAGCCAGGTTAACCACAACAAGGAAAACACCACAAGGACCACCAGAAATCTACAGTGATACACAGTTCCCATCCCTGCAGTCCACTGCCAAGCATGTAGAAAGCCGGAAGTAAGTACTGTCAACTCCTGCCTTTTGTCTGGGAACCCTGTCCCTTGGCCAGCGAGTGGGATATAGGAGATAGGAAAACCCACCTGAGGTGGGATGGGAGGGGATCTCCTTGGTAAAGCCCAGGCTACAGCCGACAGGCAGCTGTGCATTATGTGGGACTTACAAGCATGAGGGTGGGGAAAGGGGTAAGGACCCTGGAAGGGGGCAGTGGGTAAGAAGCACGAAAGACAGACATTGTCTACAAAAGTTTCTTTATTCCTGGTTTGTGTTGTTCTGTACCTCTGACATGTATCTATTTAGAATTCTTTGTAAGCACATGTTCCTTATAACATGGAAACTAGAAATGTAAGAGCAATATTTCATTGTATCCCCCGTAGATGTGAAAAGATGAAAGATGTTGGCATTTATAAATCTAATATTAAAATAATCTTATTTCAGCAGGTGCTTAAAATGAATGCTACCTGGAATTAAATGACCACATATGGCACTTCCACATCCTTTGTAGGGACATGAATTTTTTTTTTTTTTTTTTTTTTTTTTTTTTAAGTGAATAAAGTGGCAAGAAATGTAAAGGACATCAGATGGAAATACTGGTTTTGGTGGGGGGTGGCTTTTAAAGTAAATACCAATCTTTTTGTCTCTTTGAGAGCCCATCTGGCTTGAACTTAAGCCTCCATTGGACTTGCTCCTCTGCTCTGTCCTACAGAATAAGGGGCAGTGATTCCCCACGGGACTCAACTTGCTTTATCTGATCCACTCCCATCAAGGAGGAGTGAGGAGAAATCATTGAATAATGAGTAGAACCTGACTTGAATCAGAAAATTGTTGCCCTTAGGCATAAAGAGATGTATTGTTTGTATTTACTAAAAATAAAAGTGACTCTTAGAAGGAATCACCGTGTCATCAGATAGCCTTTTGACTTTGCAGTTGTCTTCAAGTTGGTCCCAAAATAGGTTTGCAGTAAACAGTATTCAAATAGATTGCTGCCACAGAAAATAGGACCATAGAGATTCAGTATTTGTGTTTTCTCTTTCTTTGAAGCCCAGAAAATGATCTGATGATGATTTTATGTGCAGGTTTCCCCCGCTGTCGAAAGTAGAGAGTTCCTATGAAATGGTTCCTAAGCCAGAAAGGCATAAAGCAAAGAGAGTCCCCACTTTCTGAAAGGTTGCATTACACTGCTTTGCTTTTACCGGAAGACCTACTTTCTTTCCTAACTTAACACTAACTGAAAGAAATCTGAAGAGGCTTTTCACTGTTACGAAAAAATATGTCACCATACTAACGTAGTTCTTTTGTAAAAGCAAGTGGTGTAACCCAAACTTAGGGAAAGCAGGATTCCTCTACCACTTTCCCCTCTTCCTCCCTTAGGATACTTCAAAGGGGGGGTGTGGCTTTTTTTTTTTTTTTTTTGGAGGATCAACAACCTAGTGAAGAAGAAATTTACTGATTACATTTCTTTTCCCTTAGGGATAAAGAAATGGAGAAGAGCTTTGAAGTAGTAAGACACAAAACTAGAGGTAGGGATGAGGTTTCAAAAAACCAGGCCCTTAAACTTCAGCTAGACAACCAGTATGCTGTGCTTGAAAATCAGAAAAGCAGCCACACACAGTACAATTAAGGAATGGTCTTTGCTAACCCTTCTAAGGTAACTAGACTGCAGCTAACCACCAGGAACAGCCATTCATCATCTGATCTCTGCTGGACCCACAGCCGATGCAGACCACTCGATATAAGTGACCAGCCCTTGGCACTGTGGAGGTGCAGGTGTCACAGCTGCTCTTTGTATATACTGGATTTAGGGGGATTCTCACTGTTGTGTAAATGTGTGAACTAGATTCGGCAGTGTTCTTTCGTTGTTACTCTGCCAGTACAAAAACAAACTGCAGCCAGTGGTCATTTCAAAATCTTTTTATGTTCAGATACTGAGCCTTCGTAAGGGCTGACTACCTCAGGTTTGCTGCACTCGTTGCGGACTTCATGTGGATCACAACTTCTGGACATGGAAGGTTACAGCTAGTATGTGTCGGTGTGAAGCTTGAAACCAGCTCTACTGGATTCCTATCAGAAATCCTGCAGAAAGTCAGCCATCTGGGTTCTGATCTGCTGTAAAAGATGAAGATTTAAGTGACCTTAATTAACCTGTCCTGTGCCCCACCCTTAAGGATATTCTGTAGTGGGCTGTGTTAGACTTTTTGGAACATGCCGCTCTCAAAAGAACTCATGTGTTCAGATAATCTCTGTAGGGTTGTGATTTTATAATTTAAGCTTTGAGTTGTATTCTGAGGTAACCACAAATTAAATTCAACCAAACTTGGGTCCACCAAGTGGGAAAGGGGGTAGGGGAGGGAGTAATCTTATTTCTTTTAGTAATTTTTTATTTGGGTAGTGCTTTTTCTGTGTTCCACCCATTAAGGCCTTTTTTTTTTTTTTTTTTTTTTTCCTTTGACTCAATAAGTTCTTTGACAGAGCATATTGCTTGGTTAAATAAGTGACCTGAAATATGCATTAGAATTGTAAAACGTCTCATGAATTTGCCAATCCCTAGAGTGGAACCAAATAGCCTTTGACGTCAAGGGCAGTGGATGTGGGGGGCTCTACTTCAGGTGCTGCTAAGCCTCCTCTAATCAGGTCTAAACTGTACAGTAAACTGCAGTGAAAAGAGTGGGTTCTGCTCAGGCCAAGGGATTCACTGACCGGCCCTTAGCAGTTCAGAGCGACGTGAGCAGAACCGTAAGCTAAAACCCATTTAGGTTTTCACAGATCTTGAATATCTTTGACAGGATTTCCAGATACACTTGTGCCCAAATTGTTCAGGTATTGGACATTCTACAGATGCAGTGATTGTGCCAGTTTAGCTCTGTTACCAACCTCCTGGTATGTCTTTATGTTCATTTGAAGAGTCAGGGGTGAAAGGCGATGTAGCACTTCTGTTTTTAATAATTACAGCTTAAACTATCCAGTAATTTTTAGTCCTTAAAGGGACTTCAGGAAGCTACCCAGGATTACTGAAAAGTCTTTCCATCTAATGAGATAGTCTGGTAATTTACTAGTTTTGTATCTTCGGTTCAGTAGAAATATTTCAACATGGAATGTGACCACTTGATGCAGAGTCTGGGTTTCTCTCTAATAAATCCCTTTGCCAAATGCAGGAGTTGCAGACTTGGCTCCTGGCAAGAGTGAAGCAAGTGAGTAAAACTACCCCGGCGTGGGTCATCTCCTCCAGGAGTTCAGTCTTGATGAAAGTGTCAGTGCAGAAATTGACTCCTGGGAGGTCACAGTATCTCCTGCCAGGACCTGCCAGCCACATCTGGGCCATGACTTCAGTGGTGTTTGAGGTGGCAGGCAGGGTGCCTGCCTTCTGGTGTGCTGGGGTGAGCAGCTGAGCCAGCCAAGGAGAGGTTGGATGATTAAGCAAGAAACAAGGGATTCTTGGTTAAACTGAAGACTTCATTTGGGAACCAAAAATCTTAATAATCTCTTGGATCTTGAGCCACATATTTCCCCTGAAAAGTAAGCATTTTTTTTCCAGCAAAATTTTGTTGGGGCTTATGTTACTGAGGAATGAACTGAGATGAGTATGTGGAACTTTTATTTAATAGCATACTATACTAGAAATCTGAAGACCTGCAGGAGATTTAAAATTCCAACTCTTGTTATAACTTTTTAAAAGATTGTGAAATATAAAAATGCACATGAATCAAGTTTTAATATACTGTATGATGGGTGGATGAGGCTGTCCATTGTACCATTTCTTTCTTTGAATTCTCAGGCATGGTTTGGCAGTGCAAGAACTCTGTAACATTAACAAATTCAATAAAAAGTAAATATATGGATTGTGCAGTCTGATTGTTTTTATGTCTCCCCCCCCCCCCCCGGCCGGGTAGTTTTTATTTTTATTTTTAACCCTTAACGTGTATCCTTTTTTTTTTTTTTTTTTTAAGATTTTGTTTATTTACTTGAGAGAGATCACAAGTAGGCAGAGAGGCAGGCAGAGAGAGAGGAGGAAGCAGGCTCCCCGCTGAGCAGAGAGCCCGATGCGGGGCTCAATCCCAGGACCCTGAGATCATGAACTGAGCTGAAGGAAGAGGCTTTAACCCACTGAGCCACCCAGGCACCCCTATCCTCTGTTTTTGAAAATGGCTAATTGATGTCACTCCTCCATCACTGGAGGAGGATGGTACTCTTCAACTCCTGTTCCTGGAACGTTTGCAGAATGTTAATGAGACAGACCTGCAAGGAAGGCGGCTGCAGCACTAGGATGAGTATTCACGAAAGTTGAAGCATTGAAATGTATGTTTTTTTCTTTGTTAGTGTATTAAATTTGTCATAAACCATAGCAAGGGAATCCGCAATCTTTACTGTGTAGAATAAAGATCTCGGGCCGTGTCCCAGGAGAAGCTTATACATTTGTCAAATGAGCAACCATTTTAAAGTTCAGGATTTAGTCTGCATTATAGTTCCTACATTTTCTAGGCTAGAGAAGGTATTTTAAGTCACTTTTGGTAATGGACTTTTAATGTTTAATGTTAACAATTGCTGCTAGGGCATTCTGGCTACTTGATTGAGATTTTTCTTGACAGCCCTACTTAAAATAGAACACTTACCAAAAAAAAAAAAAAAACAGTCCCTGTCACTAACGTCCCTCTTAAAATCTTCCATAGTTGGGGTTTTTGTTTTTTGGTGTTTTTTGTTTTTTCTTGAGCCGAAAGTTGCACTTCTAAAGTTTACATGTAAATACTGTTTTTAGTCTCAAAAATTGTGCAACCATCACTCTGAATTCTGGGACATATTCCTCATCCTCCCCTCCCCCTGCCAAATTCCATACCCATAATCCTTGACCATTTCCCCAAGTCCCCTGCCCTAGGCAACAACTATTCTTCGTCCCTTAGACCTTCTCTTTCTGGACATCTCCCATAAACAGGGCTGTTCGACGGTCTTTTCTGACTAGCTTCTGTGACTTGGTAGGTGTCTGAGGCCATCCATGTAGCATGCATTAGCACTCTGTTCTTTGTATTGCCAAACAGCTTTGTGGACGCCGTGTTCAGTGTTCATTCATCACTTGAACATTTGGGTTGTTTCCATTTTATCCTTGTTACGAATAATGCTGCTATGAACTTCCATGTATAAGTTGTCAGTATGTTTTCAATCCTTTTTCTGTATTTAGGGATGAAATTGCTGGGTCATACACCTTTTTGAGTCACTGCCAAACTTTTAAGTGGCTGCACCATGTTACATTTCCACCAGTGCTATCTGAGGATTATTTCTCCACATGCTCATAATTAGAGTTACCTGACGAGTTCTAGTCATCCTAGTTGGTGTGAGCTGTTATCTTGCGGTTTTGATCTGCAATTCCGGAACTAGTGACTAGTGATGCTAAATATCTGTGTGCTTACTGGCCATTTGTGTATCTTTGGAGAAATGTCTATTCAAATCCTTTGCTAATTTTTTGTTTTTGTTTTCATTATTGAGTTTTTTATATATTCTGGATACTTGTCCCTCATCATTGTAATTGGTAATTATCTTCTCCCATCTTTATTTTCTTACTGTGTTTTGAAGCACAAATGTTTTTAATTTTGATGAACCCCAGTGTATCTTGTTCCTTTTGTTGCTAGTGCTTTGGGTGTGTCTAAGGAATGTGACTTAACCAAGGTCATAAATATTTATCCTTATTCTGAGAGTTTTGTAGTTTTAGCTCTTCCATTTAGATATTTAATCCATTTTGAGTTAATTTTAGCATATGGTGTGAGGTAGGAGTCTAACTTGGTTCTTTTATATGTCGATATTCAGTCAGCCAGTGCCATTTGCTGAAGACTCCTCTGTTATTTGGTATGCTAAACATTTTACTTGTCTATCTGCCTTTATTGGGATATGAGACTGGTCTGGAGTAGAAACCTGCAGGAAGGGATGTTGAGTTTGGAGTGTGGGATATGAATAGGGAAGAAGAGCCAGGCAGATTATGGTGACTGAGGAAAGCGTTGAGGCCAGAATCCACACAGGCATTCCCTGGGTTGGAGTTTCCCTTCCAGAGCACTGCTATAAAGCAAATACTGCAATAAAGTGAGTCAAATGATTTTTTTTATTTCTCTGGGCAAAAGTTATGTTTATACTGTAGTCCATTTAAGTGTGCAAATTGTACTGTGCCTAAACAATTTACATGCCTTAATTAAAAATATTTCTATAAAATAACTATCATCAGGGCTTCTGGCGAGTCATAATCTTTTTGCTGGGAGGATCTTGCCTTGATATTGATAGCTTCTCACTGACCAGTGTGGTGGTTGCTGAGGGTTGGGGTGGCTGGGGCAATTTCTTAAGACAACAATGAAGTTTGCTGTATTGACTCTTCCTTTCAGAAAGCATTTCTGTGTAGCACTGTGATGCTGTTTAATAGCATTTTTTAAAAAAGATTTATTTCTTTGAGAGAGGGCACCCACGTGTGTGCGCCAGTGACAGGAGGGGCAAAGGGAGAGAGTCTGAAGCAGACTCCCTGCTGAGTATGGAGCCTAACGAAGGACTTCGATCTCATGATCCTGAGATCATGACCTGAGAGGAAACCAACAATCAGATGCTTAACCGACTAAGCCACCCAGGTGTACCTCTACTTGATAATATTTTACCTGCAGTAGAACTTCTTTCAGAATTGGACTCAGGCCTCTGAAACCCTGCCACCGCTTTATCAGCTCAGTTCATGGGATATTCTTGGTCCTTTGTTGCCATTTCTTTGCATTTAAGATTTTATTTGAGAGGGAGGGAGAGAGCTGGAGGGAGAGAGCTAGAGCAAGAGAGTGAGCACAGGAGCAGGAGGGAGGGGCAGAGGGAGAAGCAGACTCCCCACTGAGCAGGGAGCCCAAGGTGGGCTGCATCCCAAGGACCCAGAGATCTTGACTTGAGCCGAAGGCAGACGACAACCAACTGAACCACCCAGGTGCCCCCACTTTGTTGCCAGTTGAGTAATCTTTACTGCATCTTTATTAGAAGTTTCCATTTCAAGAAACCACTTTCTTTGCTCATGCATAAGAAGCAAGTCCTCATCCATTCAAGTTGTATCGTGAGACTGCAGCAAGTCAGTCCCGTCTTCAGGCTCCACACAGTTCCTTCTAGTTCTGCTATCTCCACACAGCAGTTCCTTCCCCCACTGAAGTCTTAAACTCCTACAGGTCACCCATGAGGGTTGCACTTCCAAACTCCTTGTTAATGTTGGTATTTCGGCTTCTTCCCGTGAATCATGAAATGTTCTTAATGGCAACTAGGATGGCGAATCCTGCCCAGAAGGTTTTCAACCTATCTTTCTCAGATCCATCAGAGGAATCACTCTCTGTGACAGAACCTTACAATGTATTTCTTAAATAAGACTTGGAAGTCAAAATTATTCGATTCATGGGCTACAGAGTGAATATTGTTAGCAGACATGAATATACTGATTTTGTCCATCTCCATCATAGCTCTTGGGTGAACTGGGTACATTGTCAATGGGAAGTAGTATTTTGAAAGGAATCATCTTTTTCTGAGCAGTAGGTCCCAACAGTGGGCTTAAAATAGTAAGTAAACCATGTTGTGAATCGATGTGCTGTCCTCCAGGCTTTATTGTTCCATTTATAGAGCACAGGCAGAGTAGATTTAGCATAATTCTTTAGGACCCTAGGATTTTGGAATGGTAAGTGAGCACTGGCTTCAACTGAAAGTGACCATCTGCACTGCTTCCTAACGAGAGTCACTCTGTCTTTTGCAGCTTGGAAGCCAGGCACCGACTTCTCTACCTATGAAAGTCCTAGAAGGAATCTTCTTCCAACATAGGGCTGTTTGCCTACATTCAAATTCTGTTGTTTCATGTAGCCCCTCCATTCATGATCTTAGTTCCATCTTCTGGATAATTTGTAGCTTCTGCATCAGCCCTGACAGCTTCACTTTGCACCTTGATGTTATGGAGACGGCTTCTTCCCTTAAACCTCATGAACGCCCCCATCTGCTGCCTTCAAACTTGTCCTCTGCAACTTCCTCCCCTCTCCCAGACTGCACTGAAGAGTCAGGGCCTTGCTCTGGACTAGTCTTTGGCTTAAGGGAATGTTGTGGCCGGTTTGATCTTTCCAGAACACTTACCGGCAAGAACGCTGTTCTGCTTTCTTATCATTTGTGGTGTTCCCTGTGGTAGCACTTTTAATTTCCTTCAGGAATTTTGTTTTGCATTCCCCACTTGGCTGC